CTTTTAAGAGAGGGTTTTTGGGGAAATTTTACTAGAGCTTGAGTGGTGGTACAAGGTACAGTGAATCAAGAAGTCCCCATAACGAAGAAGAGAGAGAGGTCCCACCGCTCAGACACTTGTCAACAGTCTTGGGACAGTGCCAAAGAAGTCCTGGGACAGTGTTGGACCAGAACAGTCTTGATACAGTCTTGGGACAGTGGTCTTGGGACAGTAGTCTTGGGACAGGGTCTTGGGACAGTGGTCTTGGGACAGTGGTCTTGGGACAGGGTCTTGGGACAGTGGTCTTGGGACAGTGGTCTTGGGGCAAGGGTCTTGGGACAGGGTCTTGGGACAGTGGTTTCGAGACAGTGGTCTTGAGACAGTGGTCTTGGGACAAGGGTCTTGGGACAGGGTCTTGGGACAGTGGTCTTGGGACAGTGGTCTTGGGACAAGGGTCTTGGGACAGTGGTCTTGGGACAAGGGTCTTGGGACAAGGGTCTTGGGACAGGGTATTGGGACAAGGGTCTTGGGACAGTGGTCTTGGGACAGTAGTCTTGGGACACTAGCCTTGGGATAGTAGTCTTGGGACAGTAGTCTTGGGACACTAGCCTTGGGACACTAGCCTTGGGACAGTAGTCTTGGGACACTAGCCTTGGGACAGTAGCCTTGGGACACTAGCCTTGGGACAGTAGTCTTGGGACACTAGCCTTGGGACAGTAGCCTTGGGACACTAGCCTTGGGACAGTAGTCTTGGGAAACTAGCCTTGGGACAGTAGTCTTGGGACACTAGCCTTGGGACAGTAGTCTTGGGACACTAGCCTTGGGACACTAGCCTTGGGACATTAGTCTTGGGACACTAGCCTTGGGACAGTAGTCTTGGGACACTAGCCTTGGGACACTAGCCTTGGGACAGTGATCTTGGGACACTAGCCTTGGGACACTAGCCTTGGGACACTACTCTCAGGTCAGGGGTCTTGGGACACTGACGGAGTACTGGGACATTACCGAACAGTCTTGGGACAGTAAAAGGAAGCCTGGGACGGTACGAAGAAGAGTAGGGACGGTAACTGGAAGTCTTAGGACAGTATAAAAATTGAAGTAAAATTACAACAAGCTGTTTTAAGACAGAACAAGACTAATTGGAACCCGGTACAGTTTGGACCACGAATAAAGAAAATTATTCGATAATTTTAGAGAACTGGAACAAGGTTTTTATCACGTTGTATATTTTCTTTTAAGAATTTGTTTCTACAAAAATTTTTTTATTCTTAGAGTAGAATTGTATATAAAATAATGTTGTAAATAAGAGCAATTGTAAATAGAAATAATGAGACGGAGTAGGAGACCGGTGCTTGAAAAAAGGTCAAGTGGATCAAACACGAAATATAACTCGTCGCTGCGTGGAATGACATCAAGGGGCCCAGGCAAAACAAAAAATAACTTTTCAGTTAGCATGGTCAGCACGAGAAGTGGCGCCGAGAGCAAGACGCGAGAAGATGCGAGGGAAAAACAGGTGGAGCCCACAATCGAAATCGACCTAGAGACACCAGACCAGAGCGTAGATGAAGTGGAGAAAAAGACAACGGAATCCACACCGATGCCCCATATGGAAGATCAAAATCCAAAAACCGTGGAGTTTTCGCCGATAGACGCGTTGGAAGACACAACAGGCAATACCCGAGAAACGGTGAAAGACGACTCTCAAGTAAAGAAAACATCTTTTACAGAAAAGTTGGCGATGATGGTCGGAATGAAATCGAAAGACAACACGGCCGAGGAATCACAGACTGGAAGAGCACGAACATTTGGGACAGTGAGCACGAAGGCGACAGAAGCCGACCCAAAGGAAGAACAAGCCGGAAAGGAAGCGACAGCTGGAAACAAGACAACGGCTGATCGTGAAACAGCTACACTTGAGCTTGGAGACCTGATGACAAAACTAAATCAGATCGACAAGAGACTGAAGTACAGTGAGGAAGATAGAGACTTAATAAGGAAAGAATTGAAATACAACAAACACGAGTATCTGGATAGTTATTTTAACCTGGCTAAGGCGACAGACGAGAGACTCCAGCAGATGTCGGACAAGGTAGATGCCACCAATGAAGAACGAGATAAGAACATCAAAAAAGATATGCAACAGTTGAAAAACCGATATGATGATGTCAACAGCCAATTAGGTAGCCTGGAAAAGAGAATGGACATAATGAACAGGAATCAGGCCGAAAGTTCGTGTGCAATACAGGCGAAGTTGGATGCAATCTTGAGAAATTCTACCTCACAAGAAAGACCGGCAGCGGATCGCACACAAGGCACCAGAGTTGACTTTGTGGAACCACAAAGGGGCAAACGGCAATCGACACCGTTGCCCTTAACCCGGGACACGGTGAGCATAGCACCAACAGCTGCTAAAAATCATGAAGAATGGAACGTCAAGTACAACGACTGGCCCGGGGGACTCAACAGCTAACAGCAATGCAGGTCCGGATGCTATGACATGGGCAAGCACTTGGGAGATGATGAACAGGACTCTAGAGGCCTTCGCCACGAGGAACACTGACTCGAGCGATAGGAGGGACGGAAAATCAAGAAAAACTTTCAAGAAGCCAAAGGAATTCAAAGACGACTCCGATGGATGCATCGACACTTGGGTGGAAGTGATGAGATTACACCTAGAGCAAGATAACTTAAATGATGAAAGACAAGCATGCACGGCCATACTCAGCAACTTAGAAGGCACGGCATTAAAATGCGTGGTCGCAAAGAAGGAAGAAGAACGCGACACCGCGGACAAGATCTTCGAGATTTTACTGAATCGATTCGGGTCAGGCATGAAGGGTCACCAAGCGATGATGCGATTTGAAAAGAGAAGGCAGAGGGACGACGAGTCAATAGATCGGTTCCTAGATGACCTCGAGAGCTTGAGAAGAAGGAGTGACCCAGAGGAGTTGACAAACAGAAGAAACTTCAGCATTGCCTCGAAGTTCATTGATGGGGTAAAAAGTGATTACTTAAGGACAATGTTAGCTACATACTACACATTGTCGAAAGACAGCGCACCAACCCCAGAAGAAATGAGACAGAAATCAAGGGAATACATGCTGATGAAGCCCAAGAAATACTCATATTCGGAAAACAGGAACACACAGGGGGGAAGCCAACCCCAGAGGTCATCATGGTACAAACCTAGAGATGATATGGATAAGCGCAGATCATGCGCGAACTGCGGGTCAGCGGACCACCACGTGGCTGACTGCACAACATACAAACAAGGCATGAAGAGCCTAGGATACGCACCGGATGAGGAGGACATGAGCCAGATGGAGGAACACGAGTACTATAATGGCTTAATCATCAAGATAGGCGCTAGATGCTTCTTCTGTAACCAGGAGGGGCACTTCAGAATGGATTGTCTCTTGTTCTGGGAAGCGGTCAAGGACCAGAGTCACCCCAAACATAAGTTGGCATTAGCGGCGGTGCAGAATCAGCGGAACAGGCAAAACGAGTTTGAATCGAGGAACTTAGGAACACCAAGCACGGAATTGCCAACGAAGACAGTGAAAGCTGTAACACATGTTAATGGTGCGATAGAATCCGCGGCAGGGAATTCTCTAGAGATAAATTATGAGAAAGCGGCGACGGAAGCAATTGCCAAAGTGAAACAGGATCTGGCTGCGAAAGAAATAGAGCAACGACTAAAGCTGGAGATCGAAAAACAGAATTTTAACGAAGCATTAACCGGATCGAACCCAACACCAGAGGCTGTACCAGGCTCAACAAAGACCGGGAATTGTAACACTGTAAAAATGGTGACAGGTAAGCCTTTTGGCATATCGAAAATCGTGGCAAGAATAATGTCGATAATCACAGTGGGCGGCCACGAGGTAACCAGAAACTTGAGCGAGCCGAGCGACCAGACAATAATGCACATTGACGTGTATGCAGACTATTTGAGTGGTATAGGCCCACAAACCACTTCTAGAGCACTGAGAGCACTACTCATGAGAGGGGGCAGCAAGTCGGTACGTGTTGATAGCAGATATACTGAAGCTTATGGTCCACACGAGGTGATGCTAAATATAGATAGGATTAACATCCATACCAAGACGATGATAACATGTGACGAAGACCTAATTGGACAAATCTACGTAGGGAAAGAAGAATTGAAAGTGAGATCGATTGGACACTGCGCCATGCTTGAAGAAGATGCAATGCACATCGGGACGGAGGCAGATGTGACAGGGCACGTGCTGGATATAAGTGGCAAAAAGACTCAGTTGCGTGGGCTGCTTGACACGGGAGCAGTCTTGAGCGTCATACCAATCGAAACTTGGGAGAGGATGGGCTTTGACAAAGGTGACTTGATAGACTCGAGAATACGGCTGTCAGCTGCAAACAAAGGGGCCCTTCGGGTGCTGGGCAGGACGCCGATAATAGCCCTCAATTTGGGGGAACGTAACCTGTGGATGAGCTTTATCGTGGTAGAAAACCTAGATGAATCTGACCAATTCATTTTGGGCAGAGACTTCATCAGGAATTTCGACGTAACGATTGATCTAAATAACGCAATGTTCAGGATACGGAACCCGGATAGGAGGTACGCAATCAAACCGGTAAATTTAATAATGGCAAATGAAAACAAAGCACCGGTATTCTTGAGTAGGAGGGTGAGGCTAAAAGCTAATGAAGCGGCAATCGTAAGCTTGAGGATGAAAAATTACAATGAACTAAGTGACAACAAGCAAGTGTGTATAGTTCCAAATCCTAATAGTCAAAGTGCTGCTGTTTTAGGAAGATCATTTTCGATAACGAAGAGCGGCCTCTGCGTCAGTGTCTTGTTGAATACCCTTGATATACCGATCACGATACAGAGAGTGAGGAAACTAGGATATGCTTTACCGGTTAAAACTCGATATGAAACAATTGAGAACTCAAAACAAAATGAAGTTGTTGATTGTCCCAATCACAGGGACAAAATTTGTATCTTGAGACGATTGCAGAAAATAAAAGATTCTTCAGGTCTTATTAAATCACTTAAGTCAGTAACGGATGATGGGCTGTCGAGCTGTTCGAACTTTCCAGAGCGACCCACACTAGATGAAATGCAAAATGAAAAACCGGTCCTGCCGGAGATTGAACATTTGAGGGCCAAACTGAAAGATGAACAGCTCGAAGCCATCAAGGACGTACTAGAGCGAAACGAGGAAGTTTTTTCGAGGCATAAGGCGGATATCGGGTGTTGTAATTTCGTTGAACATGAAATAGAACTTGAGGAAAACGCGGTACCACACAGGGAGGGGGCGAGGCGCATGACCCCACACAAATCGGACGCGTGCAGAAAAGAGATCGAGACGTTACTAGAGTATGACATGATAGAACCATCCAAGTCACCGTGGGCGTGTGGAGTAGTGATGGCCAAAAAGAAAGGCGACCAGTTGAGGTTTTGTTGTGACTTTCGATACCTGAACTCCGTCACGGTGAAGGATGCCTATCCCATACCTAGGATTGATGAGAGCCTCTCGAAGTTAGGTGATGCAAAATTTTTTACGACTCTTGATTTAGGCTCGGCCTTTTGGCAAGTACCACTAAGGAAGCAGGACAGGGACAAGACAGGGTTTGCCTGCGAGTTGGGTCTGTTTCAATGGAAACGGATGCCGTTTGGACTTTGCAATGCCACAGCCCCGTTTCAGCGGTTGATGGCACACGCGCTGATAGGCGTAACGAAGAAATATGGCAACCTGGTAATGTGCTACGTGGATGACGTGGTAATAGCGACGCCAACACTGGAAGACCACATTGAGAGACTAGACGAAGTGTTTGCATGCATGAAGAGGTCGGGGCTAAAGTGTAAACCATCAAAGTGCGAGATACTCAAGGACTCAATAAAATACTTGGGCAGGATGGTAGACAAGCATGGCATCAGACCTGATACGGACGCCGTGGAAGCAGTCCTGACCTGGAAATCACCGAAGACAGAGCACCAGTTGATGAGCTTCCTGGGTTTCGCTAACTATTATAGAGAACTCATCAAAGGCTATGCAGACAAGGTATACCCGATGCAACAATTAATGAGACACAAGGGCAAGAAGTTCACATGGAACAACGCAGCAGAAGAGTCATTCCAGAGAATAAAGAAAGAGCTATGTGAGGCACCAGTACTGGGTATGCCGACGGAGAAAGGGATGTACGTGCTGGACACGGATGCGTCGGTAGTCGCGATTTCTGGGATTCTCCACCAAGAACAGGAATGGAATGGGAAGACAGTCTTGAGACCAATAGCGTACGGGAGCAAAGTCCTGAGTGACACGGAAATGAAGTACGGAGCACCGAAAGCAGAGATGTTCGCGGTGGTTACCTTTGTCGAGAAATACAGGGCATACCTGGCCAGTGAGCCATTCAAGTTGCGAGTCGACAACAGAGCACTGAGCTGGCTGAAAACGTACTCAATGGACCAAAGTTACATTGGGAGGTGGATAGTTCGCCTAGACTGATACAACATGATAATTGAGCACAGAACGCGAGATAAACATCAGAACGCCGACAGCTTGAGTAAGAAGACGGAGTTCTATGAGAGACAAGAACAAAGAGAAGCAGACAGACCTGAAATCAAAGATGGCTTCTCATTCATGGACAAGGAAACGTACGACAGTCTTCCACTCACGAGATGGCTGGACAAGTCAGGCAAACCGACAGAAGATCATCCTGAATTGCCTAAAGAGCCTCCAGAGAAGACCATCTTGAAGAAGAGCAAGGGGATTCCGATTGAGATTATACTCAAGTCGAAGATCGTGAAGGAGACGCTCAAGGCAAAAGGCTATGATCTTAACCAAGTGGAAGCAGGAACTGCACAGATAGATGATGACTTAATGAGGTTGCTCGAGAAACTATCAGATGATAAGCCCGTGATCCAAGAGAAGGGTCAAGAGAAACCGGAATTCACTATACTTCGGAGAAAAGAGACAGTGAACGATACTGACTCATCAAGAGGAAGCGTCACTGACAGCAAAGACGTCGTGCGGTCACTAGTTGACAAAATCCCCGAAGACATTCTGGAGCAGACCAAGGTTAGGAAAAAGAAAGTGACGTTCAAAGAAGATACTGAACACCTGGGACTAGGTCAAGAGTCCGGGGAGTGTTCCAGGTTCACGGAAGAAGGAACCGGAGAAGGAAAATTGTCCGGGGAGCGTGAAGGATGGGATGAAGACTCGAATGGGATCAGCGAAAACCAAGACAGTCTGTGCATGATATTGGCGGAAGAGAAGACAAGGCACCACGACAGGGAGTTACAGACGGATCCATCTTCAGGAACATACAACATGGACATACAGGAGATGCGAGGTGGTGAGGAACTTGAGAAAATTGCGGTTGCAAGGATACCATTCAGGGAACTATCATGCAACTCAAACACCAGAACGAATCTGGTGCCAGAAGATGATATGAAAATCGTGAAAAGGATGATATGCGTGAAACTGAGTGATGACATCCACCACCCTGGTGAGATGAATGGACAAATCATGGCGCTAAAGGAGCATGTCAAGGCGAGATATAGGCTGTCAGACCTAATAAGAGCCCAGAAGAATGACAAAATGACAAGTAACCTCTCCAAATGGATCCAGTCGGGGGTCAGGGAGAAGGGGGAACTTGAGGAAGACAGTTACAAGATCTTGAGCCAGTTCTACAAAGAAAAGAAAGACTTACTTTATCACACAGCTGAGGGGGTGTTAGCGTGCAAGAGGAGAGACGAGGAAAAGATATTACACAAACACAACCTCATCATACTACCACAATTGTACCAGACGGAGGTGCTTTTCAGATCACACGACCAGATGGGCCACCAGGGGATAGACAAAGTACAACAAAGGATACTTCACAGGTTTGATTGGCCAGGAATGAGAAAAGCTTGCGAGAGATGGGTGAATGCCTGCCTGGCATGTCTCCAGGTAAAAGACCCAAGGAAGATGAAGTTTCCACTCAAGTCAGTTGAGAGCTCAGAGTTCAATGAAGTGGTGCAGATAGACCATCAAAAAATTTGCATGACAGAGTCGGGATATAATCAGATACTGGTTATAATAGATCACTTCACAAAGTTGGCGGAAGCGGTTCCGTGCCAGACAGCCTCGGCCGAAGAGACATGTGATCATCTGATAACGCATTGGATATCGCGGTATGGTTGTCCAATGACTTTCCAGTCGGACAACGGCAAAGCTTTCGTGGGGGACTTGACAAAAGAATTGATGAAGAGATCGCACATTGCTCAAGCACACTCGACGACCTATCATCCACAGACCAATGGGTTGGTAGAGAGACAAAACAGGACACTGGTCAACATGTTAAGGGTGTACTGCTCAAGATACATGACGGACTGGGACAAATACCTGCCACAGGTAGTAGGAGCCTACAACAGTACACAGCACTCAACTACGGGCATCAGTCCTTTCATGATGTTGACGGGCAGGGAGAGAGCAATGCCTCTGACATTCTTTTACCCGGAATATGAGGGGAAAAGGACGTCGCCTCAGGCATACGTGAAAGAAGCGATCAAAAGACAACAGGAGTTGAACGAGCTATGCAGGAGGAACACGGCGCAAGCGCAAATGAGGCAACGCAGGAAATATGACGAAAAAATATTAAGAGCAAAGCCATATGAAGTGGGTCAATACGTGTGGGTCTTCCAAAATGTAATACCGCCCAAGGGAACAAAGAAACTACTCAAGAAGTGGAGGGGACCATTCATGATAAAGGAGGTTCATCAACAAGGACGGTTCTATCGCTTGAGTACTGGGCGAGCGGCACATTATGAAAATCTGAAGCCTCAAGTCCCGTCCCCGGAGGATTGGTGCATACCGAAGGACATGGAGGGTCTTGAGTACCTGGTGGTAGAGCCAGCGTGTGAAGTGAATGAGAAAGGCACTCGAGAGAAAAATGATGGTAATGAGAACTTGAGTTTGGACGACAATGAAAAGATAGGAGTAGAGTCTGATGCAGGATCATTTGTAGAAGAAGACTGGAACGACCCGGAGCAAGGCGAGGTGCCGAAGTGGATGGAGCCGGATCGACCAACACCACCGGAAACCAGGACTGGCAATTGGAAACGCACCGGCATGAGGTACAACAGGTACGGGGATGACTTCTTGATCGATAAGATACAGCCAGACAAATTGGGCGAGGAATTACTGAAGGCAGGCGAACTGGAAGCCGGAGAGGAATGGCAGGTCATTGACGATGGTGGTCATTATCCGCAGGATGATTACTCGACGCCAGAATTAGAAACGGATCTCGAACAGAGTGAGATAGAGAGGAGGGAGAACACGAACTTGAGGATTCTAGAGTGGATGCGTGATGTCAAAGACGAGAGCCGCGAAGGACAAAGCATTCAGCAAGTCGATGTATCAGCAGCAAATTACATGAAGACAGAGGACCCTCTTTTCGGATGGACGGCAACAGACAGGCCACTGGACATTCCTCAGGACAATTCAGACCCGACAACATCGACGGGGACGTCGATAAATATTTTTGTCCGGGGAGTGGGGGTAGGACTTACCCACACCGAAAATTTGATGATAAAGAAGCTCAAGGAAGTGAGAGAAACGAGCGAATTGGAACTGGAGGAAGAAGAGCCAGAGCCTACTATAGGTCGGAATTTCAAAACGAAATTCGAAATACCCAATGAATACTCGGAGAACATCATGATAACGGATAGCGACTTCATCCTGTCAAACAGGACCAGCGCGATCTGCATCACGGCGGACATGAGTTTCAAATCAAGATTGGAAGCTGACTTCAAAAGAGAGTACCAGAATGTAGAGTTTCTGTTCAGACAGAGACCAGGACTGGGAGGGATGGCAGCGCTTCCACCGTCAGTGGCACAAGTCCCGGGCAAATATCTGTGCTTCCTAGTAACGAGGGTCAATGACAGGAACACAATTGATCCCGAACACGTGATATTGGCACTAACAAGATTACGAGACTTCATGATTGAAAGAGGGATAACAGAGGTCTCAATGCCGGTGTATGACCCAAACAGGGGCAAA